CCATCGTCCTGTACATGGTCTTTAAAGTGGCTCACACTGGATTACTGCAACAGACTAGGACAAATGTGTGCTTTGTTAGTTAGTTCCCTCTGTAATCAATCCATTTGGACACATTATACAGACCAGATGTTGCACTAGCAGCCATGGTGATAATGGAGGCAGGGTTTGACTGAATTTAGGATGAGAAAAGTAGAACGTAGTCAAGGTTTCCAATGTGGCAACAAATACAATAATGAACACCCCCTTCTTCAAGCACTATGCTGTTAATAGCCTTCCATCTGCATGCAAAACCATGCAGAAGGGTTTTGGCCAGAAGGGTTTTACCAAAGGCAGGAAATACTGGGAATGTGGGGGTCAGAGGCAAAGAATATTGGGAATGAGAGATGATTCCACCTTTAGCTTAAGGCCCCGAACCATTCAAGCATGTTGCCTGTGAGCTTTGAATCCAATGCACAAATGAAGATACATTAAAACCCTTCACCTAAGCAATGACAAACCATATCCCATTCATGCAAAGCATAAAGAAATTTGCAAAAAGCCTTATATTTGAAATGTCTTATTTCAAAGCATTTAGATTCTTCTGGCTGTTAATATGTAATACTCTGACATATATGTGAGTGAATGAGAAAACAGTGTGAAGTAGCAAGTGAAAAACAGTGATTTATAGATTTTGTAGGGTGAATCTGTTTGAGTCACTGCCTCTCATCTTGTATCATATTTGATTCACTGCTACTGTGAAAAGCCAAAGCTGATGATTTTTCAGAGGAGTTTCCAAGCTTTTCTACAAGAATCCACCAGATGGCTGTAAAAATAAACCTTGCTAAATATGCGCAGTGTGGGTGAATATATGACAGAGCTGACAAAAATATGCTCCATTGCCTCAGGGAACTTTCTTTGGGAGACGGATCTGTAATGTACACAGAGAGAGAAAGAAACACAATGTGAACGAGTACAGAAAGTGAACTTGTGTTTGTACATGTCAGTGTTGAGATTTTATCCTGAAGATCGCAATTATCTGGTCATGAGGTGACAGACATATTTTTCATATTTCAGATACTGACATTTTTTCTTTATATTCTCATGCAAGTCATGCTCAATTACACTCTTTGTGGCAATATAACCAGCTTACTTTTGAACAAGAATACCTAATGCATTATATTTCATAATAATTTGTGTGTACAGGAAAGTAGCTTGAGGTAATTCCCTGCAAACAGTACTGAAGTCTCTGTCTAAGTGTATTCTCAAAGGTATATATATATACTTCCTGTCTTTTGGTGTGATTGCATGTTTATATTTGCTCAGACAGTCTGCGTGGGCAGAGAGTGTGCATGCAAATATAGTCTAACGTGTGAACATGACTCATTTATTACGTAACCAGCCACCATTTTGTTGAGTCTCTCATCAGTCAAGCTGTGTTAGGAGTGTTGATTTGCAAGATAGCTCTCCAACCCAGTATCTATTGATTTTTTTGCCATTGATGTGAGGGGATGACAACAGATTGAATTACTAAACAACACACAGGCTCATTTCATAAACCTGACTGTATTATTAACCAGATGGAAATGGTACTTCAGCCATCTGTGCTTTTGTTTTGGCCCAAAATCCTAATCGGCCAAAAGGAGCCCAGGCTCTGAGATACACCTGCCACCTGTTTTTAGCTTTATGCAAATATTTATATGAATATTATAGATTTTACTAACCGTTTCTGCACTAGTAGCTGTCTGAAAGGGTTTTAGTGTTGGTGGATTATTTATTATATGTTCAAATATAATAGCAAGGAAGCAAAATGCACCTTTTTTTTTCTAACTAATGAGCTATGGACATTGAATGGATTTTTTGAGGTGACATTATTTACTGTTTAAGCTGTTTTATTAATGTGGTTGAAACACTGATTGAGCGATTACATGAGATATGATACATTACAAAAGTTGTACTTTTTCTTTTCATTCATTTTTCATTCGTGTTTATTTTGTGCTAACTAGTAGTTTCATTGTGCTGTACTCGTAGTCACATTACAGAAACAACATTTGTTTTTTTAATTTTACTTGAATTTTGAGACTTTCGTATCAAAAGTAACAAAGCACAAAGCTTATTGCAATTATTGGATGGCAGGTGCTCTACAAATGATGTTTAGGGAAGTTTTGTTAATGCATCAGCATAAAACAGCAAAGACTAAAAGACTGGTCTTGGGACTTAAGCATCAATATCAGTTAGCAATATAAGCACAGAGTTAATCAAAATAAAGACTGATTTTAAAAATGAGAAATCAATATTGTCAAGCCAGCCCTTGTGTCCACACTGGTGACATGTTTACCTTTTGTAGCTTATCCACGTTGTGTGCACGAAATAGACGCTGACACAGTCAAAACACACCATTGGAGAAGTGCTAACAGAACGTTTGTGACTTGAACGAAAATCACTTGGACCCTCCAAATCCATTTTGGCAGAAATAGAACATTTATTTTAGCTGTTTCAGCCAAAATATTTGATTGCCGAAATTTCAGTGCATCGCTAATTCACTTTTGATGTGATTGGGTTCTATGGCTATGCTTCAGCAAATGGGTTCTGTTAGCCCTTTATCAGAAACTACAAGGCAATAATGTGAGAATTAACATGAGCCCTAGATCAGTCCTTCTTGCACTCCCTGTTTAAAATGACCCAATCCTGTTATCAGAGGCCCAATTCCTTACATAGTGCTTACTGATGTTTCCCAGTAACTGCAGTGACAAATGCCATGACAGCCATCCCAGCATACCCTGCTCCCTTCCGACCACAGCCTGACATGTGACACTACATTAGCCCGCTTCCTGGGGGGATGGATGGGGGAGATGATTTGTGACTTGTTTTTATTTTGCATTTTACTTTTTTAGAGAGTGTACATTGTGTACGCTGCACCTTGCTTTTTTGTTTGTTTTAGAGGCTGAAAGTTAAGCTAGATTTGATAGTAAACTCTCTAAAATAACTGCCTTATATTCAGTGCTGTGCAAGAAGTTTTTTTTCTTTCTTTCAGGACTAGCAGATTGAAACTGAGAAAATATTATTATGTTTAAATGCTGAGCCTGAAACTGCTGACACAGACAGATTGGGGTACGTGATCATTATCAAAAACCTCAAATCACATCTTTTGGGATATCAGATACCACTTTTCAAAGACTGAAATAGGATGATCTGAGTTGATGAACCTCAAAACCACAACACTCACTCAGAGGAATAAGAGTGAATATCAATCATTGTTATTGTGCTTCATTAATGTTTAACTTGGTAAATACACTTAGATAATAATACAGATTCAATCACATCACATATAACCTAATCACTGTAGAATGTGCTTTGATATGCATGCTAGATATGCATTTCTTTTTTATCTGTGTTGATGCATTTATAGGAATGATTTACAAGCATCTGTGATGTTTTAAGTTTTTGTGATATTAGAGAAATCTTGGACATGATTTATGTGTAGTGTTGTGTTTGATGCAACTGTACTTAGTATATAAAACCATGATCCGCACTCAACAAAAATAGTCTTCTTTTTGCGTTTTATTTTACATGAATCAAAAGTAGGACAGAACACAAACGTTTCGGCTAAAAGCCTTCTTCAGTGTGTAGAAGATGCAACTGTACTAAAATCAAATTACGCAATCAAATTAAGCAACATAATCCAATATGTACATACATGGCTCTTGTTTGGGAACTAAATGTACAGTACACGTGGAGACAGTAATGTTATGCTGCACTCACTCCACCCTCTAGTGGACAGTAATTTCAACTGTCATGCCAAAATAACAGGTGCCGAAAGTGTAAAAGGAAATTAATAATTTAAAATGTTCATTTGTTACCAGTTGGTCAATAAAACCCAACTGAAAGTTACAAAAGATAATGCAATATAATTTACTATTAAGCTATTTAAGGCAATCTGGGTGTTACCTTTTATAGAGCTTTGACACAGACATCAACTTTCAGATGGGCGAACTAAATGTTCATATGATTAATTACCACACCCATGTAAGAATATTCACATGAAATCAAGAAAGTCTTTACTTTCATTTCTAGTTATGACTCTCTGACTCTGTGAAATACCAACTCTTTTTTTTAGACCCTTCAAACTCAAAAGTACATTTTGATCACAAAATTGCATGCTATTATTGTGTATGATTGAAACAGGATTGAAAGCATGAAAAAAGTACAGTATGCACATATTAACAAACTGTGGCATCAGGTGTGTTACTAAGAGAATTGTGCTCTGTTTGGGACTGTGATTGGTGGACTTAGCTCTGTGAGTATGGCAAGCCATTTTAACATGAATTCTTATGTTTTTATTTTAATAGTAGACTTGCGTTTTGTATCACTCATTCATTCATTCAATCATTAATTTATTACAGTTACCAGGGCATAATATAAAAGCTTTAAGCAATTACAGACTAAAACTAAGTACTGGTATTTCATGATTAAGGAATAATGTAATCGTAATAGATAATAGTCACATCTGGAGTAAATACCAGAACCAAATGAATGGTTACTAGTGCCTTTGTAACAGACACTAGTCACTATTGCATTAAAGGGGTCCTGTTATGCTTTTTCACTTTTTCAACTTTAGTTAGTCTGTAATGTTGCTGTTTGAGCATAAAAAAGATCTGCAAAGTTACAAAGCTCAAAGTCCAATTCAAAAGGAGATATTTTATTTAACAGAAATCACTTTTCAAAAACTACAACGAACGACTCGTTTGGACTACAACACATATTTTTGGGATGAGACCTGGTTGAGCTACACTAGAGAAGGCAACGAGTGTTATCACTATGTCGGAGACGGGCTAGTTTTCCCAAGGCAGACGAACTTAGAGTGGTTACAATCATCCGGGTTTAGATACTATTCATAGATAAATGTGAAAAGGGCTTGCCGCACGGGGAGGGGAGAGTAAAGAAGGTGGAGGCGAACGAGGGTGATAGATAAGTCCAGACAACACCCTAAACCGGTTTAATGTATATTCCGGTTACTGTATGTATGTGAGAGAATGCCACGGGCTGTGCAGAATTTCCTAGGCCCAAAAGTGCGGAGCAGCGCAGAGCCATTTGTGCGTCCTTGTTTGTTTTGCACGTTTCCAAGCGATGATAACGCGAATTCGGGTAGCGTTTGAGGAAACAGTCCCTAGAGTTTGCTTGCTCGCTCAGGGCTGGATGTAGCTGATTGGAGTAGCAGCAGTCAGAGTGGGTGATCACAGGGAGGAGGGGAGAGACTCTGAAGTGGCTTTTCTCTGTGTGTGTGTGTGATTCTCCAGCGGCCATGTTAACCAAGAAACCCTGCGCTGCTGCTGCCGCTGTCTACCCGACTGGTAAGGAACCCAATGCCCGGATCTGAGAGGGCGACGCCGGTCTCGTTTATTCTCCGGATTGGATTGTGGAGATGGATTATTTATCCGATTTAAATGCTCCATAACGCTTGTAAGGCTCGCAGCTTTTTCGTTTCATTGCTCGCCGTTGACTGCATGGTCGAGTACAGTAGCAATAAGCCCCGGAAACAGCATTGGAAAAGCGGCCGTTTTTGTATTTATTAGATCATTATTACTGTTGCTATAGAGACTAGATATAGAAACCAAGCGCTTTGGATTAATGGCTCTTAGATGTAATGGTCGTTTTATAGCTCGTGTGTCTGTATTAAAGGGTTTCGTTGTGCTATATGTTGATTTTCGTTTGTTGAGTGTTCGTTAAATGGTTTATATCATTCAGGTCCTCTATAAATTTCATAATTGAAATACAACTCGTGTATCAATACATGTAACGTCACTGGGCTATAGTTTTTCCCTTTTCTGGACCAGCTAGCCTTTAATTACATCCCTTGCCTTTTAAAAACACTGGCAGGCAATTGTGTAAACATTTTCCCAAATACATTTTTACTGACTTTCACAGGCAAAGGGGGTGAGATTTGCCAGCTACAGTCTTCCCCAGGACTGGGCATCGGGGGTCCCCGGGCTGGAGCAGGGACTGAAGCCACATCACCCGTTACATTACCACCACTCAGGAACAGCAACTCTCTCACGGTAAAATTAACCTTCTTGCTTGCACTTTCCACCATGCATATCCCCTTCTTTGTAATTTTGCTTTTTATAGTCACATGTACTCAGTCCAACACTTATTTAAAATATGATGTGGAAATATTAACTTTATATTTAGTTTACAGTTTATGTGTTTTCCCCACTCTTTTAGATTAATGTTAGAGATATATGCACATGAAGAAAACCATTTTCATTTCAATTAAAATTTATTTATATAGTGCTTTTCACACAAAAAAAATTGTTTCACTGCAGTTTTACAAAGAATATTTCCTTACAAGTCACAGTGAGCAAGATAAAGATTATTGTTAACACATTAACTTTGACAGCCCTAAAAATACATATTTATTAAAAAAATAAAATTTCTCTTTCAAATTTTCTTCAGACCCCCTTGCATGCAGGGACCCCCTAGTCTTCCATGTTTTATAGCATGTGTTGTTCAGAGCCCTGAAGTAATGGTCCATTCTTCACACAGAATGCAAACCTGTTACTTAATTTTGATCATTGCTTGTGAATATGTTAATTCATGAATGTTGCTATGCTTAGTGGAGTTCAAAATAACCAAGCTGAATGTCAGTATTTTGAGACGTTACATTGGCAATGCATGACAGAAAGGGTCTGACAGAAAAGAAAGTCTTACATGGATATCCAAAATGCATGTTTTAAATAAAATACATTTATTATGAGGAAAGGAATATGAGTAGTAGTAATACTGATCAGTGGCTCTCTGTCATTGGCTGATGTATTGTGTGGAGATGTTGCCATTAGTGGGGGATGGGAAATGCTGAAATCTGTCATGTAGTGAATTTCCTCATGTAAATCTATACATCCAAATTATAATACATTGAGTCTGCATGGCAAGGATGTTTTGCATGGTATAGGAATATAAACATGATATTCTAATATTCAAAAATAATCAATAATTAATCAATAATGAGTTTATTAGTTATGTTTAAAGAATTGCAGTTCATGTAAATGTATTTGACAAGTTATTCTGAATTATATACAAGAATTGGATCAATGCCATTTATGACTAAGTACCCGGGAGTTCTTTATTTAGCTGTCATTCTAATAGGGGTAAATATAGACACAGGCTCACATGGTAGGTGCATTTGTATGTCTGCATTCTCTTACAAGACAGAATTCCTGCCATATGTAATTCATCAATTTACATCTTAGCATTATATTTGCAATTCTAGCTCTTAAACCAACATATTTAATGACATTTAATTGATAAGATGCAAATACATGAATGTCAATATGTTTGCCCTGTTTCAGTGAATAAATGAAGACTATGCAGACCATGCTTGGCTTCCATTTAGGATTTTTTTCAGGTTTCTGAAGATGCAGAATAAGCTTCAAATCTTACTGGGAATTATAATTATTATTGCACCTTGCCCTCGCTTATTACTTGGTAATTAAGTGTCATGATGACCTATGACGTGACAATGCTTAAGTTGATAATTAAGTTAATGATTTTGAAGGGCTTGTTCTTACTTGGTTATGTAGCAGATTACATCAACAAATTAGTGCTGATTTTGTATATGGTATATAGAACTGATTATGTATAAGGTCTTAAAAACCCATTTCTGATGTGCTTTACAATTGCCTACAAAGTCAAATTACATATGGCATTTAGTAGAAAAGTTATGGACGCACTGTGCATTGAATTTTGGCTTCAAAGCTATTTGGAAGGTTACTTCGAATTATATGCTAAATGTTACAGATTGGCCAACCACTCACGAAAGAAGACATTCTAGTCTTCAAGTTAGGGCTGTCAAAAAAAATTTGAATTTCGAATATTCGTCGAATTTAAAATAAAAATCCACATTCGAATGCAAAAACGTTGCATTCGAATTCACACAGAACACATATTTCGCGCATTTTCTAGAAGGACATCTATCACCGTTGCACTCGTATCTCGCACAAAGGAGCCGCATGTTTAGGAAGCCATGTAAAATTAATGTAGGTTTAATTTTAAAAAAAACATATATCGAGACTTTATGGCGGGTTTTTTCACCATCCAACTGCATCTCATGTTTTTAAATGAAAAATGTACTCTGTGTGATTGGCTTTCCGCCCTTTGTATTAAACTATGCATACATACATGATGCTGTTTTGTTAATAGTTGTTTAAGCAACTTAATTAATTATATATGGTTTATAAACATTATTTTAAACATTATGCACTTTTTTTCACGGATAGTCATGTTATTTTATGCTTTGAATGATGCGCCCTCTTGTGGCCTAAGGAGAGAAGCCAAAAGCTTTTCTTCACCCTAACTGAAATTATGCATTTTAAATTTTAATATAATTCGAATTTTGATAATATTTAAGTACAAAATTTGAATTTAGTTTTTCAGCCATTTTGACAGCTCTACTTCAAGTGATATAGTAATTACAAGGACAGCAATAATTGTTCTGTCTTTATTTGTTCAAAATATCTGTCCTGTTAAATTTGAGTGTCATACCTTTCAAAGTCCAGTTAATTTCATTAAGGCCAGTCCCATAGCTTTTTAGTATTCCTACCATGCGGTATATGTACTTTGCAGAGTAAGTGAGCGTTAGAATGATTACCATGCTCACATCTCTCAGACCAAATGTGTCTGTTGATCAGCTCCAGTTGTGTCCTCTACAGCTGTCAGCAAGCATGCCCTTTGCACGACCCCCCACCTGTCCAGATCATGTTTGAATTAACCGACAGGGCAGCCAAGTACAACAAAAGGAAGAAATTAAAGCTTTATTCAGATTCACTCTTCCTATCAGAGTACCCATCTTTTGTACGATGCATAATCTCAATAGTCTGTCAGTGGGACACTTTTGCACAGCTCTTGTAGACATTTTCAGAAATTGTAACTTTAGATGTTACTTTAGAGTGTTTATTTTTTATGATGGCTGGTAAAATATTGAGACTCCCTTGCCTTACCTAGTCCATAAATCTATGCTTTATAGCATACACTTATTTATACCAGTGTGATTTATTTGACACTTAAATATTGGTTTATTGATTTAGGATTAGCTATTGGTTACGTTTATATTTATATTTGAATGATACACTTTTCTAAACTAGAGGCTTGTTGTTAAACAGTACATCATTGTCACTGCTCTTCTCTTGTGTGAGAAGGAAGAAATATGGCTGTATATTGAGTGTGTTAAAAGCAGATTGTATCAGAGCCCTTGGATTTAGAGTTCAAGCTGGGGTTTACTCTTTATCTTCAGTCAGAGGTGTAGAAACATCAGCACTGACCATCTGGGGGATTATAGATAGGTTGAGATGAAAAGGATAGTAAAAATCAGAAGTCTTGTATTGCACTGATATTATTTACACTTGGGGATTATCACTTTTTCTGCATGTGAATATGGCACAGCTGAGATTAGACAATAAAGTACAATTAAGTGGATTGTGAGCATTACCATTCAATACACAAAAATAAACACTAATCCATTAAAACTATCAGTCTGAAATAACAGGACAACAGCCATGTCAAGGGGAGTCATGTTCAAAGGTGTAAGAGTTTCTGTTTTTGTGTAGAATGAGAAGGTTGCCACAAACATCTGACTGAAGCAACAGGATGTCCTTGTAAAAACAAGATGCAGAGGTAATCACATTATCAAGGAAGCAAGCATCTTGCCGGGCAGGAGATTCATTAAAGCAGGAAATTCATGTCTAATGTCCTTGAATAAACAAACAAACAAAAAAATCGCCTCCCATAGCTTTGTGTACAAGTCAGAATTCCCCATCCTAAAAACAAGATACTAGATAACAACAAATAGCATTTGAATTGAAAGGTTAAGAAATTACACTCTACACCTCAGACACAAATCTTTTAGACCAGTTATGTAACATTTTGAAGTTGATGCAAACCATGATTTGCAGTCATGAACACATTGATTCTTTTACAAGAATGGTAAGATTTAATGATTAGTGATTTAATGATTTTGTGAGAAACATAAAAATGTCTGAAGTCAATGCATAGCAGGGGATAACATTTAGGATAAGACATAAGTGCCCAATCTGTTTTTATTCAGTACATTTTGTCTGTCAAGCCTTTCTTTTTATTCTGTAGATTATGTGTTGATCTCTGGTCTTTAGATTAGTTAGCCTCATTTCTCTTGGTCCTATAAGAACACACAATGAGCATTTAGTCGTACCTTGTCCAGGCTATGCTAAGCACAAGAATCTACTGTCTGTTTGTTTGTTTGTTTTGAATAGTATATGCAATACACATGGAATTAAATTTATGAAAGCCTATTGTAGAAAATCATGGAAAAATTGTTAGTCATTCTTACAACAACTCTGTAATCTGGCCTGAAGTGATCTCCCGTCCACTTTCCACTTTGTTGAGAGTCTGCTTTGAATATTTTGCTTGCTACAGTATACTAGACCTAGGATCTTTCTGTCAGCATTGACAGGGTTGGAATGACTTGGACTTTCAGTACCTTCAAAAGATTCCATAGCTGTCTCTCTTTTTGTGTCAAATCTAAATTTGGCATGCTATATCAGCTGTGTTTTCTTAATATATTTTGGAAACAATCCTCAAATGATGCCTCTTGTTTTTGTTTCACCTTATCCAGGCTGGAGGCAATAAGCACACAATGAATGACCATCTGCAAGTTGGGAGTCACCAGCAGATCCACGTTCAACAGCTGTTTGAGGAAAACAGCAACAAACGGACAGTGTTGACTGCACAACCCAATGGGTTGACACCCGTAGGTAGAACAGGTCTAGCCATGCCAGAAAAGCAGCAAGAAAGCAGCCAGTGTCGACAAGGCAGCTCAACTTCCATCAAATCAACTGAAAGCAAACCGAAGCCAGCACCTTTGACTCCTGAGCAGGCCATGAAACAGTACATGTCTAAGCTTTCAGTGTTTGAACACCAAGAGATCATCAGCTACCCTGAGATCTATTTTATAGGTCCAAATGCAAAGAAAAGACAAGGTGTAGTTGGGGGGTCAAACAATGGAGGTTATGATGATGATCAGGGCTCCTACATTCATGTGCCCCATGACCATATGGCATATAGGTATGAGGTACTAAAGGTTATTGGTAAAGGCAGTTTTGGCCAGGTGGTGAAGGCCTATGACCACAAGAACCACCAGCAAGTGGCCCTGAAAATGGTGCGTAATGAAAAGCGATTCCATCGCCAAGCAGCTGAGGAAATTCGCATTCTGGAACACTTGCGCAAACAGGATAAGGACTCCACCATGAATGTCATCCACATGCTGGAGAACTTTACATTCCGCAACCATATCTGCATGACGTTCGAGTTGCTCAGCATGAACCTTTATGAGCTTGTCAAGAAAAACAAGTTTCAGGGCTTTAGTTTGCCGTTAGTGCGCAAGTTTGCACACTCCATCTTGCAGTGTCTTGACTCCTTGCACAAGAACAGAATCATTCACTGCGACCTCAAGCCTGAGAATATCCTTTTGAAGCAGCAGGGGCGCAGTGGGATAAAAGTGATCGACTTTGGCTCCAGCTGCTATGAGCATCAACGGGTCTACACTTACATCCAGTCACGCTTCTACAGGGCCCCAGAGGTCATTCTGGGTGCTCGATACGGGATGCCAATCGATATGTGGAGCTTAGGTTGTATCTTAGCGGAATTACTTACAGGGTACCCTCTCTTGCCTGGAGAAGATGAAGGGGACCAACTAGCATGTGTCATAGAGCTGCTGGGTATGCCCTCCCAGAAGCTACTGGATTCATCTAAGAGAGCCAAAAATTTTATCAGTTCAAAGGGATACCCCCGTTATTGCACAGTCACAACCTTACCTGATGGCTCGGTGGTGTTGAATGGGGGAAGGTCACGAAGGGGCAAACTTAGAGGTCCACCTGGCAGCAGGGACTGGGTGACAGCACTTAAGGGCTGTGACGACCCCCTCTTCTTGGACTTTCTCAAACAGTGTCTAGAGTGGGACCCGTCCCTGCGTATGACTCCCAGTCAGGCCCTCCGCCACCCATGGCTCAGAAGACGCTTGCCAAAACCTCCCACTGGGGAGAAAACCACGGTAAAGCGGATCCCTGAGAGTACTGGTGCTATAACTTCAATCTCCAAATTACCTCCCCCTTCTGGCTCAGCCACAAAGTTAAGGACTAACCTGGCACAAATGACTGATGCCAATGGGAATATACAACAAAGGACAGTGTTGCCAAAATTAGTCAGTTGAACACTCATTTCTTTTTTTTCTTTGGAATTATAATATTGGAAATTGTGCAAAGCTGAGCATTCAGAAGTGTGGCATTTTTAGGAATAAGAGTCGTTAATGCATATCCACCATTTATGAACTGCTTCGTAGCACCTTTAGTTGGATTTTTTTCTAGGAAAGCTCAAATGGCCAAGAAAGGGGGAACAACACTTTTAAGTTTTTATCTCAGGGCTGTGTTGAATGCTGCTTTGAAGGAGCATTCATACAATCTGGTCTATAATAACAAAAAGTCCCACTTGGTTTAATACCTAAATCTTGTAAATGGCCTTGCCACAATGAAGTAATGGTAGGATACATTGATTTGTGTGCTTCTGAAATTTTAATCACCACCCCCAGATCCTGTCAGATAAATAGCGTGTTAATGGATGAGGATTAAAAATGCATTTTACTAAAAGCTATGCGATCTGAGGCTTGTTGCATTTCCCAGCATCATTGTTGTCAATATCAAGAATAGAGAATATAATCTAAGAGACTGGTAAAAGAAACAGACAGACTGTTATGAGGTAGCAGAGATAATTTTTACATGTTTACATGATAGATTTGGTTTGTGCCTATAAATCTCTTGACATTCCTTAAAGAAACTAAATGAGGAAAAGAGAGAGTGTTTTAGAGTGGTCTACACTACAGTAGATTAATGGCAAATTTAAAGGAATTTATGTGGTTTGATAGAAACTAGGCTATACTGTTCTCAGTAGTACTTGACAGGTGTACATTCGTGTAATTATAAGCTATTCGCTGGAAGAGTTGCTTTTGAACTTGTACTGTCCTGGAAGGAGAAATAACTGGTGCTTTACCTTTTTATTTATGAATTTTTTATAGCTTGAAACTTTGTGTTTTGAAATGAAACTTAATGCTCACTGAACAATCGTTGTTGTGTAATCTCAATGAGTGAAGACTGGTTAGTTTGCAAGTTAGGGTCTAGATTCTTTTTGTCTTGTCTCTAAGGTGAATGCTTTTTTTTGCAGTGACTAGGATTAAGAATTGAAGAATAGGAAGGCAGATCATTGCATTTACCTGAATGCAAGCAAGTAACAATGCTAATGCAAGATAAATATTTTAAGTGGACGATGTTATGGCAGAGCATGACACATGATTCAAGTCTTGAATCAAATTTATAACCACTAAGACAATACAGATGGCTACATTGCATATCCTCATATTGTTAAGTAATCATTGTGTGGACTTGCTAATATCAGGCCAGAGTTAAAATTCTTAAAGGTTGTTCCCTTTTTTAAATAATAAATAATGCTACAAATAAGTTATTAATAACACTTTTTTTCCCCAAATCCAGAACCATTGAGATTGAAAAAGAATATTTCACTAGAACACAAAGACTGGCCATTTTTGTAGCATTTGTGACATGGAAAGAATAATTTGACTGACATGGGTGTAAAAGCTTGATAAGTTTAACTTATTTATCTCGTTTTGTTGTCAATGAAGAGCTAATATAGGTGGAACCAGTGGCCTGAAAATGGCTTGTATGTCAAATGAGTGATTTATGGTGTAATGCACAAGAAATATATCTGCCACTATTTTGAGATCTTACTCTAGCAGGAGGTAGTCCTGCTTGCTTTCAACCAGTCACGGATTGTGGGGGTGTGGATGGAGGTCAAACTATGGGCTGTCAGGGAGACCAGCAAAGCTGTAATGCTCAAGTTGATCCCCCCCATCCCCAACCGGAGACTGGCACGGTGCCCTCCAGGCCTACTGCACACTGCACAGGGGCTCAGGGCCCTTTGGACACCCATAGTGCTTTATAGATGCAGAAGTTACTTGCTAACATCAGCAGGCATTTCACAATGTACTTTACACCTTTTTTATTGTTCTGTGAATTGACAGCAGTGTGGAATAATTGTGCCCTTAGGTTTAATACAATGTGCCTTTGGTTATCAATGCCATTCATTTTATTTCAAACAATGATTCTCCCTTCTATTTACTTTAAAAGACTCATGGTGATTCTCTTGCACATGTTTGAGCATCGCCCAAAGATACTTCCCAAACCTCATTAAATGAGACTTGGGAATAAGTGGCCGCACAGTTGAGGTTGTACATGCAGTTTGGACACTCAATGTTTTTTACACTATGATTTGAGAGGAGAAATAACTTTTGGGCCCTTTTCCAACAGGGATGTCTTAGTAAGAGACAACAATTACTACAGTGACAGAACAAGTGTCTTCACCACTGCATTCATGTCGTCTTAACATCAGAGTATTCAAGGACATACATTTGGTTAATTTTATTACAATAGAAATAAGAACACATTTTAATATTTTACCTCAGACTGTTGTAATATTCTTGTACTTTATGAATCCAGGGCATTTGGTATATACCAAAGTGCTTTCCTTTCTGTGTTAGTGGCTATGAGGGAAAAGAAGCCAGAATTTCTCTTTTTACCTGATCAAGAGGCCATCAAGCCACTCAAGGGCATGTCTTGAGATTGATAATCCTCTGTGGAGAGGGAATGGTGGGGGAAGAATGCTTGAGCTCTATTAGACAGTCACACCACCTGTTAAAATGTCTGACAGATGTAGCATACCTCCAAACCTCTGTTACTTGACATGGTTGGATGTATCTTCAGAGCAGTGAAAACTGCAACCCCAAGAAATCCACATTGAGTCAGTTGTCATCCCAGTGTGCAATACAGTGGTAGCATTGTTGAGGAAAATCAAACTACATGGCTGAAAGTTACATTTTAAAACCATGTGCTTTTTACGATTTTTAAATGTATGCCCTAACTTGAATCTAGCTACCCACTGTCAACTTAGGTCAGTTCTTTTTTTTAAACAAATCTTTAAATGGAGGAACAAAGTTGACATTGTTTATATTCAGCCACAGATACGTACTGTACATATGTGAATTTGTTGAGAATTTGATGTGGATGTGTACATATGTATAATGTTTTCATTTTGTGAAATGCTGCTGAAAACACTACATATATTGCTGTAGTGGGGTTTTATTGTTGCCGGCCAGTTTAATGATACTGTATGTATTGTACAACTGACGGAAGAAGAGTTTTTTCTAGTGATCATTTGTTAAATTTTATTGTTGTGGCTGGAATATATTAATAATAAAAGTTTTAATGTCCATCTTTACTAAATGCTTTTGTAGTGACGTTATTAAGCAATCGGAAAAACCTAAAATCTAAGCCAGTAACTAATAGTTTGTTCTGTATTTCAGTTCAGATCATCTGTGTGACAGAATGCTTTGAACACACATTAGCAATTTGATATTGTTGGTATAAAAATAGTTATTATAGTTATCGTTCTTCGTGTGAACTGCCTTAACCCCAAAGAGGTTTAATAATTACAATAATATAATGTTTGTTATTGGCAGAGAAAGTAAATTTCTACAATAATCAAGTCTTTGGAGCCAGGTGGTCCAATCAATTCTGGTGCAGCTTTGACCAACTTTACCATAGAAAAAGATACATGTAATTTTGACTTCTTGTCAAAAGAAGATTTGTTTAAAGGGCTGCAAATGGATTTCTAAGAATCTGGGCATCCAGTAGTCCATATTCAGGTACATAGTTTACAAACTAAGCTAATTCTGCAATGGCATTGTTCTTTCTAGGAACCTCAGATTGACAGTTGATTTGTAGGCAACAGTTGAGTTTGATAGTTCACTATAATACTGTTCATTCATTTTTGATAAATATTAGACATGGCTTTGGCTAATAAAACTGTGGGAGGAGAACTTCTGTGCATGTCAGCATTATTCATAAAAGTACAGTTCAGAAGTATCTCAGGACTGTAGTGAGCCCTTTTCATCTGTATCAATGCAGAATTCTGTATGCATTGCTGTGGTTATCCTTTAGGGAACTTTGGATACCAAAGAGAGAGATGTTGTCCATGCAAACACTCCATGTGTGTGCTATTAATAAACTGTTCAAGTATTGAGAGACTAGAGTTGTTTTACCTGTAACAAGCAACACAAAACCACTAATGAGCAGCAGCCTGTTGTAATTTTTAGAGATTTGGACTGTGTGGATTTATTTTTGAGGTTGTTCTGTGCACAGCATGGCTGCATTTATTATTTACAGGAAGTTTAGAAACTCCCACTTATAAATGGTAAGACCACGCAATGACTGTGTTTCTGCTACTTTTTAGTCATATCCTGAGGCAATAAAAAATAGAGTGGGCAAAATTGATGCCAAGAGTACTCTAGTGCAAATAAATGAGTCATTGGCATAGCGGAGAGAACTGAAAGCTGCTTCACTATCCTACTGTATTTCATCTGCACCAAAAGGTGGGAGAACATCTGTGACTCCTCAGCTAATGTCTAATGTACCAATTTGTGGGATGTGTTTTGATGGAAACTCCCCTGTCTTTTGGTTATTATCAACAACCAATCATAAATATTGCAGTGTGGTATCTTTCTGAAGCAGAGAAATTCTGAACTTCTTTCATTGGCTTTAATAAAGGTGTTCCTCAGTAGAAAGTCTTGGCATCAGTGAAAATGTGTTGTCTGTAATGCTAATGAATTCAGTGTTGACATGAATGGAAAGTGCTGAGAATTTGTGTGCTGGGTCTTTTATAAGACTTGAGCAGGAAGTTGTGTTGCTGTCTATGCCAATTATGGTTTAAAGGAAGAGTATCATAGGCTTTGCAAATGCTTTGCAGTGCTGATAGATTGGGCTCCTAACATGCCAGTTCTTTGATCAGGGGCCAGTTGCATAAACATAGACACTATGTTAAGACTGTGTCTTACAAACTAATTTGACCAACCAGCAGTTAGCCAAGGGGTAATCAGTGTTACTTTTTGGATTCACATTAGACCAATCTACCTTTTTGTAACTGACTTTAAAAAGTTATGACCAGTCTTGAAGAAAAGAAATTAGATTTTTTAAGACTAGTCTAAGCAGTTTATGCAACCCGCCCCAGTTCCGACAACAGGCTACCTTTTCATCTTCTAGGTCATAATTACAATCATATATATTTTTGTTATTAGTGCATGATATCAGAAATTAGTCTTCGTCCAACATCTAAGCCATTCATGCTAGGTAATTCAAATAATGGATTGAAAATATCTAGGTGTCTTGAATGTATTCCTTGTAGAGTACACAAAACACAAAAAAATTGAGGGTTTAACAAAGAATGTTTTACTGTATAGAGCTCTTGAGTAGGCTATATTATGGTGCTTTGTAGACTGATAAAGTTTGATGTATTTGTTGTATTATAATTTCTTCAGATTAGTGCATCAAAAGCTACTTCTTTGAATCTTTCTTGATCCTTCCAATACTCTGCAATGCCATCTAGTAACACATAAAGCTGACAAACCTTATTTCAGAATATGGGCTCTGCTGAACAAACTACAACATAACTGAACTAAATCAAACTTTCCAGTTTATTTTAGGCTAGTTAAATGACTCATGAAATAAAGCCGAGTCAAGTATATTAGCATAACTCAGAGACAGGAGGCAGAAGGGATTTTCTGTCTCAGTGCAGTTTTTTTGTTGTTTTGGCTGATTGGCCTTTCTTCGTTTTTGCTGGGCAAGCGAGTGTGGGAAGAATGCCCATGTGATAGGCCTCTGTAAACAAACAGAGCTGGTGATGTCATATCACTGGAATGAAGAGGAATGCATTTTACAGACTGAGGGTGCCATGTATAGGGTATTCCCCCAGAAAGCAAGATGAACCATCACTGTTGCCTCCTCTGTTTAATCATATCCCTTTACATTTCTTTATAATAAATGCTTTTTAAACATATAATTGCTGTTAGATGTTTTTGAGATTGATATATTAAAGAAACATTTTAATTTAAAACATGTATTGTTTCTCCAAATAGTGGTTGTGCATTCAGATGACAAAAAATAAAAGCTCACATGCTCCACGTATTAGAAAGAAATTGCTTAAAAAATAACTTTCTGGCTTGAAGCGATGTAATGAACCACTTAACTTCATTCCCCTTTGAAAAAAGCATAAATCATCTTCAGGCAGTTTTCAGTGGTTTTTTTGCCTGAAGAAAAAAAAAGAACTTGTATTTCAGGATCATGCAGTTCTTGTCAGTTGCTGCCTACATCAAATCTATGAGTAAACAAACTCATTATTGTATTGACAGCATCCATAGGGTCTAACTCTCTTAAAAAGTTTTACCCTCACTAGATGTGCTTTTTTTTCTAACAATTTTGAGATTGTTATGCATACTGCGTTTGCATGATAGGAAACCAAGTTTAACCTTTCAGTGTTTTGTATTTAGTTCCTATCTCATGAGGCGCAGAAATATGACTCCTGACAGTATTCCTGGTGGTCTTGTCTGGACTGCGATCTCATCCATGGACATTTATGCATAGGTAATTATTATGCTGTTCATTCTGCCAGCCAAATAGCTCTTTGGCCTATTGGGGCATGAGGAACAGGCTTTCTAAGAAGCAGAGTAAATGAGGCTTCTCTGGGGCGGTCTCTCCAAACTTTCAGCTGGAGGGAGTGCAGCTCCTCTTCTTTGAAGTTAACTCATCTGCTTGAATATGAAGACCCTTGGAGGTCTCTCGTGGTCAGACAACACCTGATACCACCCTTGGTCCTCACATCAACTGGATGATATGACAATGATCAGTGTCTACAAGCCAAACATTGCTGAGAGGACCAGGATTCTCTGTCCTAAAGCCTTAGCGTGCCATTCAAAACACCACCCGTATACTGCATCTCCTGTTAACTTACACATGATGTGTTTTCATCATGCATCATTACACAGCTGAAGTCTTGCACCAAGAAATAATCTAGTTATGGACACAAATCTACCTTAAAATAAGTGATATTCATTTTTCACTCTAGTTTTAATATGCAAGGGTCTTCCCTCGAATTTACATTTGGTGGTCATGTTTGGGTTTAATGTATGTATTAATGAAGATTTTTGGAAGTACAGTAATGCAACTGCATTCTTAATTTAGTAGGGGCTTTTTTGCCATGTTTAACAAAACTGCATGTACAGGGCTGTACAGTGCGACATATATGTCGCACGTGCTACGAAAAAACTGGTCTGTGCGATGAATAAATTTACCACTGTAGCACGCGTGCGATACAGTTTTGCATGTTCATAACACAGCCGCTTAATAGTGTGAAGTGATTTCGTTGTGCTTGTTTGTGTGTGTGTGTTTAAGTGATGAACTCCATTACTTGTGTTTGTTTTCAGACATGATAACAGACGTTTTATACTTGTGCTACAACTTTTTGGCCTGTGCTACAAAACTTTCAACCTCTGTAGCACCAGTGCTATGTGAAAAAAAAGTTAACGTACAGCCCTGATGTATGTTGTTTATGAGGTGTGATTTGAAATTTGCAAATGTTTTTCAGGATTGTGTTGATTTCATCAATCCAAATAACTACTCTTAAGTGATAACAGGATAATTAACTCTCGATAGTAATGGAGAAGCTGGCAGCCTGGACCATCTTCCTCACCATATTAGGAATGTGAGAGACTGAGAATAGGGAACCGCCATGATTCGCAGGAACTGTTAAGTCAGTTGAGTTGAAGACATGCTATTTTCAGCCATCAGAATCCCCGAGAGGGAAGAGGAGCAGCTTTGAATCGAGATCAGAGTGCCTGCATTCAAGTGCATACATCTTGACCTGTGATAGGGCATGCTAGGATAGTTATGTGGTTCTTTGAGTAGTTTCTCTATCGTTCTAGACTACAATAAAGGTGTAATGGTTGTAATTTAAAATATTATGGCAAAACAATGCTTAAATATTTGTATATTTGTAAAAACACTGCTTTAAATTACAAATTCTGTCATGAAAATCTAGATGGGGCAGGCTGATGGGTTGTTAACGCAAATTGATGATATTCACAGTGTTAAACTACTTGGCACAAGCTTGGATCATGTTGCATATGCAGCCAATGAGCTTACTGCTTTACATTTAAATGGCTGGTTGGCATTCACTAGAGCAGTTCGCAGCGCGCTTTCAGAGTTCCTATGAAATCCTCCACCTTCCCCAGCTCCACCTGTACAGATCTGCTACGGGTTATTATATATGCTATTTGTGCAGCAGCAGTATGTCTTAAATACTCACATCATTGTATCGGCATATGTATTGGCAGTAGCAAGTTCCTGTACTTGCTTTGCAGCAGCAGCAATAATCTA